CACAGGTCAAGGTGTCACAAGTAGACCTGGACTGGCAGCAAAAGGGAGAATTGTTCCTAGCTTGAAGGGCCCATGACGCTTCAGACCATCAGGGCTGAGATGCCACCTAGAAATGGGCTCGAGACTGAGGGGTGGATTTAAGCATGGACACTATTTCCCAGATTATCCATGACTGTGAAACCTGTGCTACCATTAAACAGACCAAAAGTTTGAAACCCCTGTGGTATGGTGGACATTGGGACAAGTATAAATACAGAGAGGCATGGCAGGTTGATTACATCACATTGCCACAAACCCGCCAAGGTAAACGCTCTGTGCTTACCATGGTGGAAGCGACCACTGGATGATTGGAGACATATTTGGTGCCCTGTGCAATGGCCCAGAATACCATCCTGGGTCTTGAAAAGCAGTTCCGGTGGAGACATGGCACTCCAGAACGAATTGAGCCAGACAATGGGACTCATTTCAAAAATGATTTAGTCACCACTTGGGCAAGGGAACATGGCATCAAATGGGTATATCACATTCCATCTCATGCACCTGTTGCTGGGAAAGTTGAAAGGTGTAATGGACTGTTAAAAACAACTCTGAAGGCACCAGGTGGGGGAACTTCCAAGAACTGGGATAAGCACTAAGCCAAGGCCACCTGGCTGATTAACACTGGAGGCTCTGTCAATCGAACTGGTCCTGCCCAGGCAGAATCCCTGCAGACTGTAGATGGAGACAAAGTTCCAGCGATCCATCTGAGAGGTATGTTAGGGAAGGCTGTTTGGATTACTCCTCCCTCAGGCCAAGACAAACCCATTCGTGGGATTGTTTTCGCTCAAGGGCCTGGAAATACCTGGTGGATAATGAGAAAGGATGGAGAGATCCAGTGTGTGCCTCAAAGAAACTTAAACTTGAGGAAAGGCGAATTATGTGCTCTGAGTTATGTTTTGCAGGAAACCAGTCACCAGATGAGAAAGACCTGAACAAGTTGATGCCTATATCCAATGATAAAACAGCCCAGACCAGAGAACCAGCCCTAAAGCCAGAACTGTGATTGTGACCAAAGGGCCAAGCATCCGAATCAAACTGATGCTGATGCCGATGCCAATCTTCTACGACAAGACAATTGCTCCAAAGGACAAACAAGGCCAGTTCGACAAAGTCCCGGGGTCTTTTTGATCCCATGAGGTCCCACAGTGTCACATGTTACCTTTGGTTCCAGGAGGCCCCAGTGGATTCTAATGGCCCCTGGATTCCAGGAGATTTCAGAGTGTCCTGGAGTTCCCTTGTCTCCCTGAGTTTTGGCAGTGTCTGGGGTCCCTTTGTTCCCATGAGGTTCCTTTCTTTCCATCAGGCCCTGCCACGTCCCAGACTCCCTTTGGTTCCATGAGGTGCTGCAGGGTCACAATGTGCCCTTTATTCCATGAGGTTCCGCCATGTCCCAGGGTTCCTTTGGTTCCATGGGGTTCCACAGTGCCAAAACTGCCTTGTTCTTGTCCTTCCAACATTTGTGGGCCCATTGTGTCCCTGCCTGGGATGGAGCACGATTGTGTTTGTGCAGGAATGGATCTATTGCCATCCTGCCCACTGCGCCAATGGAATGCTGCAAACACGGCACTTCAGACCCCACCCTGGAGGCAAGAACAGTCTGGGAACTCCAGGCCTGCTCACATTCCCAAGAGCCAGGAGGGCTCACCAAGAGCACAAGGGGTTGAATGCAGCCCCTGCAGCTCTCTGGGATTGCTGGGGACAAAGGCAGGAACTCAGAGGAGCTCTGCAGAGCCCTGACAGTGCCACTGCAATCACAAGCTGCATTGCCCAACTCAACACTCAGCACAGCCAAGACCACAACACTTCCTGAAAGGTGTCCCTTCTGGGGAGGGCCAGGGGGACAAACCCCTCCTTCTGTCTCTGCAGATTTGGTGTCCAATTCTCATACCCCACTTAGGGACAAAGTCAGGGGACATTGTGTGTTTGGCTTTGCATTTTCTTCACTGTTTTGTGCTCCCAACACACACACACACACCAGTCTGGGCAGAGTCTGGCCCATGATGCCCCAAAAAGGCAGATAAAAACGGCTTAGATACAGAGTTTTATGCCTTTAAACAGCAGATATTTATTATTAAGCGATGTCGGAGAGCTCCCTGACTCGTGCCAGGCAAAAAGAGCTCTGCAGTGGTCAGGCAAGAATGGGTAATTTATACAGTCTTTGATTATGATTACAACATATTTACATACATAATCATATTAGATTTTTCGTAGCAGGTGGAGTCAGGGGTGGGTTTTTAAACTTGGTCTTCATTTTGGGGAATGATTTGGTGGTACAGCCAGTCTTACTTCATCAGAGGGTCTCAAATTTACTCCTCTTCATCGGTGAACTTTGGTGAACTTCTGAACTTTCCATTTTTTCGAGTTCTATTCACTGCAGCTTGAAAAAAGCCTTGGTTTCAGACCTATTTTACCTATTAAAATGTCTACCTTAGCTCATTTGGCTATAATTTATTACCTCTGAGCTCTTTGTACAATGTTCTTTGTGGGTTTAGGTCTGCTGAATTTGTACAGAACAAAATTTCCTTTGAGTAAGGTAGAAAACGGGGGGGGAAGAAAAGTGGGTCTTTGCAGTAAGATGCTTGATTAACCCTTCTAAAGCCTTGTTTTGCTTAACCCGACAAAGAACACAAGACCTGACTCTTTGTGGTCCTGCTGCAGTGGCTGCGACCTGGACCATGATCTGTCCCTCCCCACAGAAACTTCTTGGCAATGGAGTTATTAAGAAAACAGGACAGGCTGTGGGGATCAATGTTTTCTGAACACTTCCAGGGACGGTGACTGTAAGACCCCAGGTTTGAACTATGAGCTCATCAAAGGGCTTTTCCTTTAAAAAAACATAGAAGGCACCAAAGATATCCACGCTCCAGATATCTCAAAAGGGCCTTTTAATACCTTGAGAGATACCAGAAAGGAGAAGGTGCTACACACGTTTTCTCCAGTGGTCAAATAACACAGTTCTACAGGGAAACTTTTGTAAATAAGGGAACTTGGCAAAAGTAGAAAGGGCAACATTCAACCAGAAGAACAGCGACTCCGAGGTGCTGCAGGAGTGGGGGCTCCGCTTCAAGGCGCCAGCAGCAGGGGAAGCCGGTGCCGGGCCATGCAGGGCAGCGCAGTCCCAAAGCAACAGCGGGGCAGCCTCGTGGCAGCGATGGCTCCGGGCAGACACAGCCCCGGCCTGGCGGCGCCGCGGGCGCTGAGGGGACGGCTCGGTGGCTCCAGGGGCAGCGGCTGGGGACTCCCTCTTGGGGCAGTCCCGGGCACCAAAGAGGAGCAGGGCCCACCCTGGCATCAGCTTTGTGCTCTGCAGTTCTCACGGGATCTCAACACGGGCTGCAAAGGGGAAATGGAGCTAAACCAGAACAGCCCCTCGTGGAACCGAGTGCTCACTGGGACAATGCAGGCCCTCCTGCAATCAAGGGGCTGCTGGGACACTGGGGAGCCTCTTGGAGCCAAGGGAACCCTGGGATCTTTGGGAACTTTCATGTGGCAGATTCTTCCCCAGACTTCCTTGAAGTGTGTGGAGCTTCTCCCATGAAGCTGGGACAGCTCTTCATGGTCACTGCCCAGGGGTTAAGTGAAAGGGAGGAAACTACCCCCTGTCCTTGTGGGCTGAGTTACCTCAATCTCTACTTCAGGATTGTTTCTTTTTGCTGCCCTTGATCCAATTGCTTTAATAGAACGACTTTGCTAGGCTGCTCTGTCCTATCTTACACTATACTGCTGGGAGTTTTTGGCTTTTATACTGTGTAGTAAATAATTCCATTTAATGTCTTTTGTCTGTTCACTTGTCTGATCAATTTTCGGTTAATTTGTAATAATAAATAGTTCACTTTACAGAAATATTTCTGATTTGCCAGCACTAAAACCTGCAGGACAGAGTGATTAATTACAAACTCTATAATTCCTTCAATTTAAACCACAGTCTGAGCCTGAGGCTGGATCCAGCCACAGCCAGGCTCCTCTCTGAGCAAGAATTTAGAAAGCAAGGAGATCTTTTCTGCCCTTTGTAGCTCAGGAAGAGGCTTCTCCAAGAAACTTTGTCCAAGCCTTCCACCCCCACCCCCAAGCTGTGACACACGGGCATGTCTTGTCCATGTAGGGCAAACATGGACTGCTGAACTGGTCATTTGCTGTCCCTCCTTGGAGGGAAGAACAACCTCCCTGCCCTGGGCTGAGAGGCCACTGCTGGGAACGGCACTGGTTGTGCAAGGGCACTGCTGGGTGCCCCCACTCTGAGTCCTCCCACACTTGTGCTGCTCATACTGTTTTCCTCTGCAGGGCCTTGTGTTGGGCACAGCCTGCAGAGTCAACTGGAAAACAGATGGAAGCTGTCAGGCCCTGCCATGAGGAGATGCCCCTGCAAGATGGCAGTGCTGCTGCAGAGGTCAGCTCTGTACCAGCAGTGCCCGTGGCCTGTCCCTGCCTGCAGTCACTGCCCAGTCCTGCAGCAGGACTGGCCCCGACTGCCCGAGCACTGAGGCCTCAAACAACACAGGGCTGTGCAGGACAGTCGGCAAGGGCAGGAGGAGCAGGCCCTGGAGGAGAAGGGTTGCTGCTCCCTGGCAGGGCTGCTCTGCTGGGACTCTTTTGTTACCCAGCTCTGCACAGAGGCACCGACCCTGCAGCTCCAGAGAAGTCAGAGAGAAAAGATGTCAGGGAAACCAGTCAATGCAGAGTTCTTTATTTCCTTAAAGCATATAGTGAGTACAAGTGCCACTTTGTACAGCCTCTGGGCCAGGCGAAAAAGGCAAACACTGGACTGACAATGTCATTTATATAAAAAAAACATATATATATATATATATATATTCATATATTTAAAATTTTTTGGTATGAACCAATTCTCAAAAAACTAAAACTCATACTGGGAGAAAAAAAAGAGAAGATACGGGCCTTTAATGAAGTACATAACAGAACTGGCCTTTAATGAGGTACACAAAATGATAACCAAAGAGAGTTTATTGTTTCTGAAAAACACCAGTTATCAGTTTCCTTAGAGCATCTTTCAGCTCCAGGTTCCTCAGGCTGTAGAAGAAGGGATTCAGGGCTGGAGGCACCACCGAGCACAGAACTGACAATGCCAGCTGCAGGGATGGGGAGGAGATGGAGGGGGGCTTCAGGTAGGCAATGAATGACGTGCTGATAAAGAGGGAGACCACGACCAGGTGAGGGAGGCACGTGAAAAAGGCTTTGTGCAGACCTTGCTCAGAGGGGATCCTCAGCACAGCCCTGAAGACCTGCACATAGGAGAAAACCATGAAAATGAAACAACCGAACAATAAACTGGCAGTAACCACAACGAGCCCAATTTCCCTGAGGTAACCTGAGTGTGAGCAGGAGAACTTGAGGATCTGAGGGATTTCACAGAAGAACTGGCCCAGGGTATTGCCCTGGCACAGAGGCAGGGAAAATGTATTGGTTGTGTCCAACAGAGAATGGAAAAATCCAGTGGCCCAGGCAGCTGCTGCCATGTGGGCACAAACTCTGCTGCCCAGGAGGGTCCCGTAGTGCAGGGGTTTGCAGATGGCAACGTAGCAGTCGTAGCACATGATGGTCAGGAGGGAAAACTGCTGAGATGAAAAAGGCAAAGAAAAAGACCAGAGCAGCACATCCTGTGTAGGAGATGGTTGTGGTGCCCCAGAGGGAGTTGTGCATGGCTTTGGACACAGTGGTGCAGATGCAGCCCAGGTCTGTGAGGGAGAGGTGCATCAGGAAGAAGTCCCTGGGGGTGTGCAGGTGCTGGTTGCAGGCTATGGCGCTGAGGATGAGACCGTTACCCAGAAGGGCAGCCAGGGAGATGCCCAGGAAGAGCCAGAAGTGCAGGAGCTGCAGCTCCTGCCTGTCTGCCAATGCCAGGAGCAGGAACTGGGCCATGGAGCTGCTGTTGGGCATTTGCTGCCTCTGGATATTGGTCATTGTCACAGGAGAAAAATCAGTGACCATAAAGGGGCCCTATCTGATCAAAATCAAGGCCATTCCCATACACTTCCCTCTGTCACACACAGACACTTTTGTTTTTCTAGCAGTCCTTCCTTTAGCTCTGTGCATGGAGCCCTGGGTGCTGCTGGCCATGTGTGCAGTGAAGGATAGGGCCTCTGCCCACAGGCTCTTGAATTCATCTGAATTCATCCCACTCTGCAGAACTGGCAGGGGAAGGGACCTGTGCTGGTGCTCAGCTCTGTCCTGTGAAAGCCCTGCCAGTGTGGAAGGGCCTGTCAGCACCTGCACCTCCACTGCTAATCCATGGCAGTTGTAAAGGCAGGGTAAGAGTTCTGGGGGGTTTTACAACTCCCCCCATATCTCCCCTGGTGACTATTCTGAGATGTCAGAATTGTCATAATTTCTGCTGCCCTCGGGGAAACAAAGGGAGTTTTGTGAGGTAAAAGGGGATGAGTGGGGAGGTAGGGGACAAGGTCTATTTCTCTTTTGTGTTCCAAAAGTCTCTGGGCTTTCACTTTCTCAGTTGCTGGATGATCACACCCCAGTGTTTCCCTTATGAAACACCAGGTACTAATGAAAGCAGATGGATCCACCACAGCAACGATAAGGTTGAGTGCCTGTGGGTCAGAATCAGGGGGAAGACCAACAAGGCCAACATCATCATAGGTGTCTCTTACAGACCGCCCTACCAGGATGATGAAGGGGATGAATTATTCTATAAGCAGCTGGCAGATGTATCGAAATCGTCAGCCCTTGTCCTTGTGGGTGACTTTAACCTGCCGGACATCTGCTGGGAGCTCAATACTGCAGAGAAGAGGCAGTCTAAGAGGTTCCTGGAGTGTATAGAGGACAATTTCCTTCATCAACTGGTAAATGAACCTACCAGGGGTAAGACCTCGCTAGACCTGCTGTTTACAAACAGAGAGGGGTTGGTGGGAGATGTAGTGGTTGAAGGCCGTCTGGGAAATAGTGACCACGAAATAATAGAATTTTCAATACTTGGAGATTCAAGGAGAGCCAACAATAAAACCTCTAAGCTGGACTTCCAGAGGGCAGATTTTGACCTATTCAGAAGTCTAGTCCAGAGCATACCCTGGGAAACAACCCTTGAAAACAAGGGGGTTCAGGAGGGATGGATGTGCTTCAAGCAGGAAGTTTTGAGAGCACAGGAACGGGCCGTACCGGTGTGCCGAAAGGCAAGCCGGCAGGGAAGACAACCAGCTTGGTTAAACAGGGAGATTCTGAAGGAAATCAGGGATAAAAAGAAACTTTACCAACTATGGAAGAAAGGGTTGGCTACTTACGAAGAATTCAGGAAGACAGCTAGATCATGCAGAAAGAAAATCAGGGACGCAAAAGCACAATTTGAAGTTAAATTGGCCACTTCTGTTAAGGATAACAAAAAGTCCTTCTATAAATACATTAATAACATAAGGAGGGGCAAAGAAAACTTCCATTCTTTGATGGACTTGGAAGGAAACATAGTTAATAGAGATGAGGAGAAGGCTGAGGTACTTAACACCTACTTTGCCTCAGTTTTTACCAGTAAGACAGGTGGCCCTCAAGGCAACTGGCCTCTGGAGCTGGTAGACAGAGATAGGAAACCAAATAGCCCCCTTGTATTCCGGGAGGAAATGGTGACTTACTGAATCATCTGGATCCTCACAAGTCTATGGGACCAGACGGGATCCATCCTAGGGTAATGAGGGAGCTGGCAGAAGAGCTTGCCAAGCCGCTCTCCATCATCTTCCAACAGTCCTGGCTCACTGGGGAGGTCCCATATGATTGGAAGTTGGCAAATATCACTCCAATCCGTAAAAAAGGATGCAAGGCTGACCCTAGTAACTACAGGCCTGTCAGCCTGACCTCAGTGCCTGGCAGAGTTATGGAGCAGATCATCCTGTGTGCAATCACACAACACCTACAGGATGGACAAGGGAGCAGACCCAGCCAACATGGGTTTAGGAAGGGCAGATCCTGTTTGACCAACCTGATCTCCTTTGATGATCAGGTGACCCAGCTGGTGGATGAGGGGAAGGTTGTGGATGTGGTCTATCTGGACTTCAGCAAAGCCTTTGACACTGTCTCCCATAATATACTCCTGGAAAAGCTGGCAACCCATGGCTTGGACAGGGGCACTCTGTGCTGGGTCAGGAACTGGCTCGAGGGCCGGGCCCAGAGAGTGCTGGTGAACGGGGCTGCATCCAGCTGGCAACCAGTCACCAGTGGTGTCCCCCAGGGATCAGTGCTGGGCCCAGTTCTGTTTAACATCTTTATCGATGATTTAGATGAGGGGATTGAGTCCATCATCAGCAAATTTGCAGATGACACCAAGTTGGGAGGGATTGTCGACCTGCCGGAAGGCAGGAGGGCTCTGCAGAGGGATCTGGATAGACTGGAGAGATGGGCTGACTCCAATGGAATGAAGTTCAACAAGGCCAAGTGCCGGGTCCTGCACTTTGGCCACAACAACCCCCTGCAGTGCTACAGGCTGGGCACAGAGTGGCTGGAGAGCAGCCAGGCAGAAAGGGACCTGGGGGTGCTGATCAACAGGAGGCTAAACATGAGCCAGCAGTGTGCCAATGGCATCCTGGCCTGCATCAAGAACAGTGTGGCCAGCAGGAGCAGGGAAGTGATCCTTCCCCTGTACTCTGCGTTGGTGAGACCACACCTGGAGTATTGTGTTCAGTTCTGGGCCCCTCAGTTCAGGAAGGATATTGAGATGCTGGAGAGGGTCCAGAGAAGAGCAACGAGGCTGGTGAAGGGACTTGAGCACAAGTCCTATGAGGAGAGGCTGAGGGAGCTGGGATTGTTTAGTCTGGAGAAGAGAAGGCTTAGAGGTGACCTCATCACTCTCTTCAACTACCTGAAGGGAGGTTATAGCCAGGTGGGGGTTGGTCTCTTCTCCCAGG